CCCCGCAGGCGCAAGCTACCCCAAGGCCACATCAATGGCTTCTTATGGGCGTTCAAGCCTGCCGTTTGCCAGGCCTTAAACGCTTAAAACCCTTACAACGCTGCAAAATCGTCTTGCTACGCCCAACCCCGCAGGCACAAGCTACCCCAAGGCCACATCTGGCTTCTTGTGGCGTTCAAGCCTGCCGTTGCAAAATCCCCTTGCTACGGCCAACCCCGCAGGCACAAGCTACCCCAAGGCCACATCAATGGCTTCTTATGGGCGTTCAAGCCTGCCGTTTGCCAGGCCTTAAACGCTTAAAACCCTTACAACGCTGCAAAATCGTCCTGCTACGCCCAACCCCGCAGGCACAAGCTACCCCAAGGCCACATCTGGCTTCTTGTGGCGTTCAAGCCTGCCGTTGCAAAATCCCCTTGCTACGGCCAACCCCGCAGGCACAAGCTACCCCAAGGCCACATCAATGGCTTCTTATGGGCGTTCAAGCCTGCCGTTTGCCAGGCCTTAAACGCTTAAAACCCTTACAACGCTGCAAAATCCTCTTGCTCCGCCCAACCCCGCAGGCACAAGCTACCCCAACGCCACATCAAGCTTCTTATGGGCGTTCAAGCCTGCCATTTGCTAGGTCTTAAACGCTTAAAACCCTTAAAACGCTGCAAAATCCTCTTGCTACGCCCAACCCCGCAGGCACAAGCTACCCCAAGGCCAGGCACGAGCTACCCCAAGGCCACATCAATGGCTTCTTATGGGCGTTCAAGCCTGCCGTTTGCCAGGCCTTATACGCTTAAAACCCTTACAACGCTGCAAAATCCTCTTGCTCCGCCCAACCCCGCAGGCACAAGCTACCCCAAGGCCACATCAATGGCTTCTTATGGGCGTTCAAGCCTGCCGTTTGCCAGGTCTTAAACCCTTAAAACCCTTACAACGCTGCAAAATCCTCTTGCTCCGCCCAACCCCGCAGGCTCACAAGCTACCCCAAGGCCACATCAATGGCGTTTTATGGGCGTTCAAGCCTGCCATTTGCCAGGCCTTAAACCCTTAAAACTTTACAACGCTGCAAAATATGCAAAATCCTCTTGCTACGCCCAACCCCGCAGGCACAAGCTATCCCAAGGCCACATCAATGGCTTCTTATGGGCGTTCAAGCCTGCCGTTTGCCAGGCCTTATACGCTTAAAACCCTTACAATGCTGCAAAATCCTCTTGCTCCGCCCAACCCCGCAGGCACAAGCTACCCCAAGGCCACATCAATGACTCTTTATGGGTGTTCAAGCCCTCCGTTTGCCAGGCCTTAAACGCTTAAAACCCTTAAAACGCTGCAAAATCCTCTTGCTCCGCCCAACCCCGCAGGCACAAGCTACCCCAAGGCCACATCAATGGCTTCTTTTGGGCGTTCAAGCCTGCCGTTTGCCAGGCCTTAAACGCTTAAGCTTAAACCCTTAAAACGCTGCAAAATCCTCTGGCTCCGCCCAACCCCGCAGGCACAAGCTACCCCAAGGCCAGGCACGAGCTACCCCAAGGCCACATCAATGGCTTCTTATGGGCGTTCAAGCCTGCCGTTTGCCAGGCCTTAAACGCTTAAAACCCTTACAAGGCTGCAAAATCCTCTTGCTACGCCCAACCCCGCAGGCACAAGCTACCCCAAGGCCACATCTGGCTTCTTATGGGCGTTCAAGCCTGCCGTTTGCCAGGCCTTAAACCCTTAAAACCCTTCCAACGCTTCAAAATCTTCTTGGCACGCCCAACCCCGCAGGCAACAGGCACCCCAAGGCCAGATCAATGGCTGCCGTTTGCCATCCTTTCAACGCTTACAACGCTTCAAAATCTTCTTGGCACGCCCAGCCGCGCAGGCAACAGGCACCCCAAGGCCAGATCAATGGCTTCTCATGGGCGTTCAAGCTTGCCGTTGGCAACATCAAAACGCTTAAAAATCTTCTTGGCACGCCTAACTCCCCAGGCAACAGGCACCCCAAGGCCAGATCAATGGCTTCTTATGGGCGTTCAAGCCTGCCGTTTGCCAGCTTTTTACCGCTTAAAACCCTTCAAACGCTTAAACATCCTCTTGGCATGCCAACCCCGCAGGCAACAGGCACCCCACGGCCACATCAATGGCTTCTTCAACGCCACCAAGATGTCCATGGACAAGGTGGCCCACAAAAGACGGCTGCGGGGAACATGCACATGTTACCGACCCCCCCACTAAGGAGGGGTCGTCGGCACCAGGGCGCTAGCCCATTCTATATAATATGTATATATATATATTGCATATAAATATTATATAATTATATATATATAATAATAATAATAATAGTAATAATAATAATAATATTAATAAGAATAATAATCAATTGTTATTATTATCATTATTATCATTGTTATTATTACAATTGTTATTATATTATATCATATCATATTATTTTATATCACATCATATCATATTATATTATATGTACAATATACAGTAACATGTATATCATTGTATATCAATGAATATGTGTCTCATTTGGGGATTGCAATATCTCATAATGGACACACCAACACACCCACCCAAAAAAAGGCGAATTATTGTGATGGGATTGTCATCTTCAGACGAGGACGGGCAGATTTGCTAGCAAACGACAAATTCATACAGAGCACTTCACTGATGATCTCCGATTGTTGTTCAAGCTGCCTTCAAATTACTCCATGGATCATCTTTCGATAGCTGGGAATCAGATCATGGATGGCATCAACTTCGCAAATCATCAGCCTTCCTACGTACCCGCGTCTTCTATGCACACCTGTAGAGACCAGCTCGAAAGTATCATTTCGCCATCTTGGCCATCTACAATTGCAGGTATTGGAGTTTTGGGATTCCTTGACGGAGATATCCATAAGACTCTACGAATGGGATTGTAATCTTTCCATATCTTTCCCATGATGTGGGAAAACAAACAACAAACCACTCACCATGATACACGTTCGCAATGTGACTATCGAGGAATTCCTGTCCTTGGACCCCGGAGTTCGATGGAGATGCGGGTCGTACGCCAAGGGACAATACCATTGATGATGGAATGCTTCAGCAGCTTCATCAGCCTCAACTGGCCAGTTTCTGGAAGGCATCCTGATGTCCAAGCAGAGGGTTTGGTTTGGAGATGTCTAATCCATGTGAGTCAACTGGGCTTCGAGATTCCAGCTGCAACTAAGGCAACGGCCAATAACTCATCAATCCTGCTGCACCGAGAGACACCAAGCGCTCCCGCCCTTTGGCTTTGCTTCGCCTCAAACTTTACGATGGAGAGAGTGGAAAGCTGAGCTTGGGAGTTTTGAATTTATCAGGTGGCCTGAAAGTGAATGGAGATGAGTCAGAATTGGATACCAGGAGTACCAGGAAAATTGACACAACGCAAAGTATCTGTGAATAACTTTGAACGGTCTCTCCAAGTGCACAGGCACAAATCGCAAGACTTCAAAAGGAGACCCTTTACCATCATTCATTGCCAAAGAGTTCTCTTTTGATTTCTTTGATGCGTTTGAAACCAATCTTCTCCTCGTCTCTTGAAGATGAAAAATGATAGGATTGAAGGCAACATGCACCTTTCTGGCCTTGCAAAATATCTAGAGCTACGCAGTCGAGTCCAAGGGAACGGACCTCGGGCATTAGAGGTCCAAAAGTTGAGAAAAGCTTGTGAGAAGCGGGTTGAAAGATGTTGAAAGAACCAAACAGAATGGTTTTAAGATGGTTTCATGTGTATTCAATGCAAACATCAAGATTCGAAATGCTTTTATACTCGACATGTATGCAGAAATGATATAGTAAGAGGGACCCCAGGATTTTTGGATCAATTTGGGCTACACGGCACAGGTCAGTCTTCTTTGATATGTTTGGTTCCGGGGGTTGTCCCTTGAGCGCCTTGATCAACAAAAGTTTCAACAACCAATCTGCATGGGTCGGACCTCGAAGGAGTCTTGATGAGTACAAGAAAATAGACACCCGTGCCTATGCCATCCTATTCCTTAGATTTCCTAAGCATATCCATATAAGTCGCAGTCACAATCAGACTACAGTCATCTCTACATTTATCTGATTCATATCTCTATATATATAATATGTACATACAATATATCATTATATCCTTCTATTATTCTATCCCTTTATTATCGTGTATTCGCATTCAGAGTCATCCAACTTACTTGTAAATTCTCAATGCGAGAAGTGCAAAAAGTGACCAGACTTGGACTCAGACTTTGCATCCCCAGGCCACATGGTCCAGAAGGCGGCACGGCCATGCCCTGATGTTTTTGGTCGCAACTGTCGTTTACGCAAACGTACTGAACTTCAGAATTTCCCGAGGATAGAACAAGATAGAAGGCAAAACCGGAGCAGTGCTTCAAAGTCTTTGCTATGGCACGAAACTTACACTTTCAGAGGCAGCTAAGCGGCTAGAGTGCTACAGAGGTTTGCTCTATGCAGACCCACAGCCTTCACCTCTCGAGCCACCGGGTGACCTGAGTCAGCTGAGTGAATTCCATGTTAGCATGTCCGATTTTGGAAAACATGTCCAATTTTGATTTTTTGGAATTCGCAATTTGTCTTTTAAGAGAACGGAGATCAATGATGCATTCATTGCCTTAATCTTGCAAAGCTTTACAATGGACATGCAAATATTACCATATGTTTGGTTCTATAATCACATCGTCGACCATCGTGACAGACATCCCAGCCGAAAGGCCGAAAGGCCTCACAAGTCAACAGAGGGCTCTGTACAAAAGAGAATGCCAAGTCTGCAAAGTCAGCTTTGAGTTTCAAACCAATCTGGGTCATCCGTATCATCTTTCAAGCGCTGGGCAACTAAGCTGAGAGTTAAACACTGACGTGTCTAAATGATTCTAAACGGTTTTCTTCTGCAATTCAGGCATGACCCCCACTTCGATAGTAGTCTCCTGTGGGGTAGCGGTTTGGATGCGCTTCGTGCATCACGGGTTTGATTCACTTTTATAGGTCGTCTGCTGCTGTATCCAATCACTGCACTGCCACCAAACGAAAAACAACTGCTTAGTCCTTGGACACTTTTTTGATATTGGGTTCATATCTTGGGCTGAAATCGAGTTCCAGCTTCAGCCAAGGTATGCCATGGTTATGTCACATGCACTTACACTAATCATCCTTCTCAAAGACTTGTCATCATTTCTGTTTTAAAGAAATGCTATTAAAACTACAATTTCGATGGTAGGTGGCAGCTAAGTTGGCCAACGTGTGGTTTCTGTTTTTGATCAGTACAAAGCTACTTCTTTCTGCGCAGCCACAACATTTTTCTGGCAAATGCCCAACGCTTCCGGATGGACGGCGACAACTGCTGATTGGCACAGGCCCAGATTGAAATAGACCAAAAGGGATTTGCCGGGACCAACTTACACTACACTTCCATATGATGCCCATATGCCATATTACATAATATTACAAAATATGAAATAATATTAGATAATATTACATAATATTACATAATATTACATAACATTACATAACATTACATAAAATTACATAATATTAGATAATATTACATAATATTACACAACATTACATAACATTACATAACATTACATAACATTACATAATATTACATAATATTACATAATATCACATCAGATGACATAATATTACATAATATTACATAATATTACATAACATTACATAACATTACATAATATTACATAATATTACATAATATTACATAATATCACATAATATTACATAACATTACATAACATTACATAACATTGCATAATATTACATAATATTACATAATATCACATCAGATGACATAATATTACATAATATTACATAATATTACATAACATTACATAACATTACATAATATTACATAATATTACATAATATTACATAATATTACATAATATTACATAACATTACATAATATTACATAACATTACATAATATTACATAATATTAGATAATATTACATAATATGACATAATATGACATAACATTACATAACATTACATAACATTACATAACATTACATAATATTACATGATATTACATAATATTACATAATATTACATAATATTACATAATATCACATCACATTACATAATATTACATAATATTACATAATATTACATGATATTACATAATATGACATAATATTACATAATATTACATAATATTACATAATATTAGATAATATTAGATAATATTAGATAATATTACATAATATTAGATAATATTACATAACATTACATAACATTACATAACATTACATAGTATTACATAACATTACATAATATTACATAATATTACATAACATTACATAATATTAGATAATATAACATAATATTACATAATATTACATAACATTAGATAATATTACATCACATTACATAATATTACATAATCTTACATAATATTACATAATATTACATAATATTACATAATATTAGATAATATTACATAATATGACATAATATGACATAACATTACATAACATTACATAACATTACATAACATTACATAACATTACATAATATTACATAATCTTACATAATATTGCATAATATTACATAATATTCCATAATATTACAGAACATTACATAGTATTACATAATATTACATCAGATGACATAATATTACATAATTACATAATATTACACAACATTACATAACATTACAAAACATTACATAACATTACATAATATTACATAATATTACATAATATCACATCAGATGACATAATATTACATAATATTACATAATATTACATAACATTACATAACATTACATAATATTACATAATATTACATAATATTACATAATATCACATAATAATACATAATATTACATAATATTACATAACATTACATAATATTACATAACATTACATAAGATTACATTATAGTACATCATAGTACATCATATTACATCATATTACATCATATTACATCATATTACATCATATTACATCATATTACATCATATTGCTTAATATTATATAATATTACAGAACATTGAAATACCCAGGGCCACATATTCTCTTTGACCGAGCATGCCACCGCGTTTAGATGTCACAAGTATCAAACCAAGTAATTAACAAAGTTTATGACAACCAGTGTACCCCTGCGTTGTGTGCCCTGCAATGGACAAGCAAACAATAAGAAGGTTTATGACTACAAATGGTACTGGTAGGTTCAGGTTGGTGGAATTCAGCGTGCCTTTGCGTTTTGTGGTCTTACAATAAGCAATGGTCCAATGGAATAATATACACACTTCCCCACGGCACACCGACCTGAGACAACTTCAGGGGAGACGAGACAAGAAACCACATGAACCCAGTAATATTATATTCATTTACGTCCTGTTTCTGCACAACTGCAACTTTGAGTTCCAATAGCGATGTCGTTTTCCATCCAGGGCTCGACAAGCTCTTGGTTTCCAGCAGAGTCCAGGCTTTTGGGTGTGGTTCGGTCTGAACACGCCGCTGGGGAAAATACTTCAGCCGCAAGGGTGGCGACTGGCGCAACAAATGCGCGGTGCACCACATTGGCCGCCCCTTGTGGCATAGCTAACTGTGCACCAGCAGGCCAGGACTCGAAGACTGCTGACCAAAGGTGGAAGGTGATTCACTTGCAAGGTCTTTCGCTGCATCTTCGCAATCATAGGCCCATGATTAGCCAATCCAGTTTGGAACCCATCCGAGTCCAAGCGTACCTCGTGTTTCTAAAGACAGTTACAAGAAAGATCTTCGATTCGAGTCCGCGCTCGCTTGCGGTCTTCCATCTGTGGGGAATACCTCCGGAAAGAACGCGGCCACTCAGACTCAGCTCTTGACAAATTCGGAATGGGAAATCATGTCTGAAAATGAGTCGGCAACTGTAAAGAATGGGGTCTATTTCAAACTTAGGAGTTAAAATACCTCGGGCCCTCGGCTGAGAAAAATGTGTTTCCCAGCAATCGGTGCCCAAGTGATTTCAATGTCGCTTCTAGCATGGCAATGGGGAAAAAAAACAAGTTCTGTAGGTTCCGTCATCTACAGAGTGGTGCCATGCTTGACTTGTCAGTTGGTATTTCAGAAGGTCTAGAGTTCTGCCTTCCCAACATGCACTTCATATTCCCCACAGATTCCAACTGCAGAACTGCCTGCTAGAGTTTGGCGAGCCACAGAAATTCAGCAGGGGGGCAATCTGGCGAGCCAAAGATAGTGGCTCCCGGGAGTCTTGAATCTTGACACATCAGCGGGCTATTTCGAACTCTTTTAACATTTAACCCCGTTTCATCCCATTTCTCTTATCTTTTTCAACTTCGCCGACTTACCGATGCCAACCCCCAGTGGAATCTTTCGTGACTCACACAGCCGTCGCAGCCTGGCTCTTCCCCAAGCAGTTTGAGGCGTCAAAACCAATGGCCAGACCGCTCAAGTAGTCAGGAAAAACTGTTTTTTGTTCACATGTCTCCTCCAAAGCCATTTCAAACATCTATGTGAATCTATGTTTCAAGCTGTTGCTTGGAAGATCTTGGAAGCTTGGCTTCGGAGTTCAAACATCACCATGACCAGCAGCACTTGTTGCAATCAGACGATCCCAACATGGCAAATTCTCGTCCTACAAACTATATGTTTGGTAAATTTAATGGTTCATGCCGCCATGCCATGTGGCTAGAAATCATAAAAACATGTAGAACTGTGGAGGCAAACAACTACATGGATCACCACTGGTGAATATGCTCAGTGATTTGTCAGTTGAATTCTTCCAAAATGATTCCTTTGAGTCACTGGCTCCATACGAAACAAAGACAACTGGCCTAGGATTGTTCCGATTGGAGGTTTATGAATTACACCACCATACAGCATCGCTAAACCCACTGACCTTCCCCATCAGTTGGACCCAGATCACAACGGCTGCTGGTCTTGCTGCTACACAAACCACAAACCAAGTTTTGTTAGTGTGCAATAATTATACACCTAGGATCATCTGTATATATATATATATTATATCCTTGCAACTACTTCGTTCCGATCACCCCTGTAGACTGGCGCGGGGTCGCCTATCAATACCACTTGAGGCGGTATCTCACAGCATCACCCAGACCTAAAATGGGGAGTACACCCCTCTATAGAATCCATACGCCTGATCAAAACTGCCCTCTATAGAATCTAGGAGTACATGGTAACGACTTAATGCCCCATTTTTCTGGAATTCCCCCTATAGAATCACAAGCACCATGTGGTGACATTACTCAGGGGTTCACTTGAAGCCGTGGATTCCAAGCAAGTTTCAAATTGGCTACGACATGGCCAGGGCCAAAGCTGAGCCGATAAATAGAGATTGGAATATCGAAAATGTCTGGAGATACTGGAGATAGGGGTTGACCAACATGGATTTCACCCACAAAACAAGGACTAGCAACAAATAAACCTGAAATATATGGAATCCAAGAGGGGCCAGTCTCATGTAGCCTCGCTGTAGCTGGATCTCTGGTCTGCAGTTGGTGTCAAACGGGTTTTTCTAGCAGCTCCTCACAAGCTGCTATGAACCATCCACTACACATGGTGTCCCATCAGCCCGTGGGCCGAGGGATGCCTTGCAGCCTGTGCGATCTCGAACCATAGACAAAGCTGAGGTGGTTCGAAGCAGATGTCTCGCAGCGAGAATCTGGTCTCATCAAATCTCGGTGTCTTCAAAACACAATGGAGACATGGGAACTTGATTTGATTTGATCACATCCGGATCAGAGTCTGCTGAAGTGCACCATGAGTATCAGTCACCAAAAACAAAACAGCAGGACTAATATGGACTAATATCATAACATGATCTATAACATGACATGCATATCTGAACGGAAGATAACGGAAGGTAACTAAATGAATGTTTGAACATCTCCAGTTTCACCAGGACACCTGCTGAATTGGCAAAGTTCTCTCCAATGACGGGCTCGCCAGGCGTCAGTTCCAGGCCTTCAGAGCCTAGACGCGTTGGATCGCCCAGTGAAGTTACCAAAAATGTTACCATGGGAATTGAAGCCCGAAAAAATGTGGGAAAACGTGGGAAAATGTGGGAAAACACCCAAAATTGTGCTGAGCTCCTATGGAAGATTCCCTGATGTGCTATGTGCTATGTTCAGCCAAGCTCTACGGTCCATCAACTCCAGAAGCTCCCCTTCCAACACGCCTTCAAGCTGGGACGCTTTGGAAGTTCACACGAATCGTTCGACTCCTGAGGCATTGCCGGGTGATCTTTAGAGACATGAACTGTTGAACCCCTTCAAACGAAGCAGGTGGCTGGAACCATCGCCGTCACCGATGAGGGTTGACCGAAAGGGTTCCGGCGGTCCAGGGCATGATCTCAGTATGACTCAGCCGGGATGAGAAATGAAGGCGTTCGCAAAAAAAATGCTGTCAATTTTTGCAAAAGCCTTGGCGATTTTGAATGTCTCTTTGACAAGATCTCCAAACTTCTTGCTCCTCCTTGCTGGAATCCAAATTGCCTTTATAGCCCGGGTCAGCAAAATAAGTATAAACAACTTGCCTGAGACGTTTTCTACCAGTTCTGCTTCACCATTGGATCTTTGGCCCCTTGGCCCCCCACCCCCGCCGACCTGGGTACTGAAGGTCGACACCACGGTGGTTGATTCCAAGGTGCCATCGATGGAGGGCTCCTGCGCAAAGCTCAGCATTGACTTCGACATGGAAAATCTGGGAAAATCCACCAGTTGGGGCCAATGTTCATCAATTTTCTGGGGGAGAACATGTTTTTCCATGTCTTGTTGAGCTTGTTGGTTGAATCTTTTAGTTTTCTGGAAGGCACCACCAGGAATCAACAGCGGTCTTCACGCAAAAGAATTCAACTCTGGAAAAGGGATATATACCCTCTGATGACTCTGATTTATAGATGATTTTCCCATTAAAGCCTTCAGGGACTCCATTGCTGCCCTTCAATCCATCTGCTGCCCATGTCTGAGCTGTTGGCTTCACCCTCCTCTGCGATCTTTGTCCCGCGGCGGAATAGACTAAACCACGAACTGCGGAAGGAGCCTCCATGCATGGCATCGGCAAATGTATTCCTTCATCATGGCATGGCTTTGTCCGAACTGTGTCCGGAAAGGATAGGAAAGGCATGATGAACAAGTATCCCAGTATCCCCAGGTATCCGAGTGACGCTTCCCTTCACTTTTGGTATCTTTTGGTTGGAACGGCCTTTTTCTGCCGTCGATATATGTTTTTACAGCACCCACAAAGATAATGTTGAATCAACATGTAGTGACGTAGTGCCTTCCTGTTCCCGAGACCTTGAGGACTCCGACATGGAGGGGAAGCGCCAATAGCAACCCAATAGCAACCCATACGCATGTATTTAGTTTCCCATGGTTCAAGAATGCGGTTGAAACATGTTGAAACAAGAGACCTACTTGTGTCAGCCCTTCAAATTCTAGTTGCCAGAATATCTATCCTGCCCAGCCCAACACTATTCACCGTGTGGCAGTGTGCTGCTGCAGTGGAATAAGTCTACATACCCTGACCATGCTGCATGTTCCTTGATGTTCCGCTACTTCTAGGCTTCGCACATCTGACCATACCCGCCAAATCAGGTGTTGATATGTTTTGAAATATTTGTATCCCTCACCAGGATTCTAATGGGCCTCCTTTCTTCTCTTTCTGCGGTACTGCTTGATTGTCAGGCCTTAATTTTCCCTATGGCGGGAAGGAAGCACGAACAAACCAGCGTGTGGCAGGGGCAGCTGGACTGGAGCTTCGATACCAATAGTTTGTCAGCCTGTGATGTGACTAAACAAGATTCAGCCACCCGCAACAGCGCAGAACAGCCAAGGATTTCACCCTGGGAATGATGACATCGCTAAGGCACTGACAAGCACCAAGCTGCGCTCTTGGGAGAACTAAGGCCTTGCTTTCTGCCTCCAGGTATTGAACATATTGAAATGCATGTTGTGCAAATCTTGGATGGCACGTCTAGGATCATCTAGGCATTCATTCCCATGCCCCACACAGTGGAGCAGTTGAGGATGTGTTGTGATGCTCATAAATCATAAGTTGGATATGACGACGATGATGGATGGATGGATGGATGGATGGATGGATGGATGGATGGATGGATGGATGGATGGATGGATGGATGGATGGATGGATGGATGGATGGATGGATGGATGGATGGATGGATGGATGGATGGCGCCGACAGGGTCAAGCATGATAGCCATAACAATGCTCAAGAGATACGAATATGCAACAATGTTTAAGGATCCCCTGGCCTACAGCTTTTGCATATTACTGTGCTCAATGCTCACGACATCCGAAAAAACACTACCAAGGATATCCAAGGATGATCCGGATTTGACAAATGATATCTGATAGATGATGATAGACGATCAGATGTATTTATCATCATCTATTGCCGACTGCACATCTGTCCATATTTGGAAGGTCATGGATTCTCTGCACATGGTTCTAGGATGTTCTAGGGCATGATTCAGGATGATAAATATTGGTGACCTGCAAGTTATGGCTGCATCTCATCACTTGCACCTCGCGACCTCCACCATGAAATGCTTCCTGACGGAGACGACGCTGGCAGGTCGTTCGGCAAGGTGGCAACTGGCGGCCACGAGCTGAGGCTCGGATGACCAATGGATATGGGATGATATTGGCAAGTGTTCTGGGGGTTTAGCCCCAGATGCTTGGAGCGTGTTATAGCTCGGAATCTGCTGTTGTAGCTCTTCTACTGGGAGAACCAGGCAGGTTGGCATATGTGAGGGGAACATGACTTACTATCAACCCAGAATCAAGACTTATTCTATCTTATTCTCCAAGTCCAGACTTGGAACTATACACACGATGTACTCTGTGTTTGAGGGTTCAACTGATCATGCAAGTTAGAACGGAGTTCCTTCCCTGCAAGAGAGCCAACATCTATCATCCAACCATCTGTAATTAGTGTTCCGGAGCTCCGGCACCTGAGCAAGGGATGTCTGGCAAACCTCAGTCCAGAGGAGATTCAGAACCCTTTGGCGGATGTAGCCAGCTGGTCATGTCATATTGTTATCCGAAATCTCTGGTTGCTGGGCCAGTGTTTCACCCCTTCCCTGCTGTGCCCCTTGTTCTTGCAAATCATTGTCCAATGTTGCCAATGTCCAATTGTATACATGTTGGCCAAGTATTGCAAAAATGCATCCGCACGGTTCCATAATGTTTCATACCCCATAACTAACCGTTTCTTCACAGTTGTTCACAGTTTCTCACAGTCCAGACCTTTCATTTTTGATGGAGGTCGCAGGATCGGATTTTAGAGGTCTCAGTGGGGAGCCAGGTAGTTTTCCCTTTGGCAAACAGATACATTCCACAGGCACTAAGTCACTAATTGTTCACTGACTCTGCTAAGGATGATGGAACCAGAGACACACCACTAGACAGCTCAGTCACTCAGTCATTGGTGGTATGTGAAAATGCCCACTGAGTCTGGAGTGTTGGAGTATGTCGAACTGCTAGGTGTTTCTAATCTAGGCTTCCATACCCACCAATATACACAGACTGATTATAGTTCTACTCTTTGCCAATGCTAATGTCATTGCCGCAAAGAAGCCTATGGTTTTAGAAACGAGAAACGGGGCTGGGAAAGTCTCGGCACTAGTCTGATGTTACTAACGTTACAGTAACCTTTTGCATCTTGGGGGCTCACTCATTTTGACAAATTGAACGTTTTGTTGACCTCTGTTGACATCGTTTGACATCATAGATCCATGCCCAAATCTTCGCCAACGAGGCTCTTGAGACGATACTTCTTGGAGAGTTCTTGGCACTGTCCAGCCTAGGCTTGAGCTGTCCAGTTCTGATCCCCACACAAATTGGATGTTATTGGATGTTTCAAAGACGTTTAATGCCCGAAAATTCTTGAGCCTGTGGGGGGTGGTTTACAGCTGGAGCCAACTTCAAGATGTGCGAAGATGTGGATACCTGAACTGCACTGAGCTGCACAACGTTTCAAAGTATTTCCGCAAATTTGCGATCAACCCTTCAGCCCGGAATGGATCTTTCAGCATGGCTCATGCTGCAGTCCCATGACATATCTCAAGAGATGCACAGTGAAGAATGAATTGAGTAAATACGGTTAAAATACATGTAAACCACAGGCTCTTAATCAACCTCTTCAATATGTGCTAGAGCAGCTAGAGCAGAAGCAGAATGTCAATCTCAAAACCTTCAGATGCTAAGCATGGTGGGCATGGTCCAACTGCCCTCTCTGCCTGGGTCCCAGGCTCCTCCACAATCAAAGGCCGGCCTACACCCCGTGCACAGGATCGGATCTCATCGCTGAAGCGCACAGCCTGGAGGATCCCCCGGATCAGCCATGCTATCATGCATTTTTTGGCGATCTGGTTCTGCTTTTTGACCCATTTTGATCCATTTTGACCGATGCCCAAAAAGAAGTAAAGCAGTGAATCTTGGAACAGCGATGGGATTGCGCAGTGCTCAAGAAGCTCATCAGTCACTCACGAAACGAGGGCTAGCAAAGCTGTCTTGTAAACTTCCCGTGGTCCACAAGTTCCATGGCATGTGCCATTTATGGCATAGCTGTAGGAGGTTTCAGCGGAACCCTGTGACAAAACTCTAACCCACCAATCCCAGCAGTCTATGAAATGAAGCCCTTGCAGAAGTAGAAACTCTGAAAGGAACTCATGAAAGGGAACATAGACCGCAAGCACTTTCATTGCACCTTGAATTTAGACCAACTTGAAGGATTGGATTCCACCGATTCCCATTTCCACCTCACCTCACAGAAACGGCTCCCGCCTCAGCCAAATCCAACCGCTCTTTCGCATCCTGCCCATCGCAATTTCAGGGTAGATCTCACAGATCGCTGGGCACAGTCTCTGCAAAAGCCTCCTGAAAGCGAGCCTTGATCAGAAATCTGGAGATGACGGATCGAAGATCCTCGGAACATGCCTGGACGATGTCAGCTATGTCAGCTGGGATCAATGGGTGCAAGTTGCACTCGGAGAAATGTGAGTGACTGATGTGACCAATTGGCAACCAAACTGCTCAACCAACAGATCCAACAGTTCAGGATGAAATCCCGACAGAATGTGATGAGTAGGGTGGTGCCCAGTGGTCTTGTGACACAGCACACTTCACGTTGTGTGGTCAGCACGGGATGCGTGTCGCGCTGATGGCATGAACACCGTGATGAATCTGTCTGCCAATTGCCTGCGAAAATCGAAATGATGAATAGTGAGCGTTAATAGGCAAGCATTCAGCCAAAAGCGATCACTTATTGTGGTCGCTGCTATTTCCTGCAGGGTAATGTGTGGGTATACAAAAATGGTGCATACCAAAATGGTGTCCATTGGTGGGGTGCCAAAAGCGTTGGAAGTCCGGAATTTTGACCCCATACCAACTACCAACCAGTTTATTGATCCTTCAACATTCACTCGGCTCTAAACAGTTCTACAGTGTCCTACACACAAATGCTGGATATTGATCACAATTTCCCAGCTGATACGGCCCATGACCTCGGGTAATGGGCTTTCAGATTCATCCACGATCTGCTTGGCAAGGGCCAACTGATTGTTGGCCTGCCAGGGCTGTCCAGCGGAAGATTCATTAAAAGATTCACCATAATTGGATTCTGACTGGATAGTTTGGGTTATACATGGTTTGCTTATAATATTGGGCTATTATATAACCCAAATTGCTACTGGATAGTCAGATAACCCATAATTGGACTATTATACGGCTACAATCGGCTACAATCGTTGCAGTGCGACGCACGAACGCACGTTGCATCGATTGGGAACCCCCATGGCTCCACCTCGAAAGGCCTCCGAAGGGAAGCCATCTCATACAAACCTTGCCGGAATCGGCTGGGATTGGCTCTGATTTCAGCAAAAAAGACATGTGACACTTGAAACAAAGCAAAATCCTGGGAAAAGCGTCGGGAAGAAGATAACATTTAACATGTCAATCTCAGAGTGTTCTTGTCTTTCTGACTCATGAATCGCAGACATTGAGACGATTTTGCCCGGCTGACACGCTCTGAGATTTGGACACACTCCCAACGCCCATGCATCGCTTGCTGCGCCATAAACTTCACCACATACCTGAAATGACTGAAATGACTGAAATGAGAAATGAAATGCACCCAGGATCCGAAGGGCTCCGAAGGGCTCCGGGTCATCCCATGGAGGTCCAGCCAGGCGACCATCTCAGGAGACATGTAGTGCGGCGTGCCCGTGGTCGCCTTGGTCAACATGGTCAACATGGTACTGCAACGATCTGCAACGTGTCGTCCCAAAGTGCCCGGCTCTCGGCAATGGTTTGGACTTTGGAGAATGCTTGACAAATCTGAGAATGATTCAACAGTAGCCTTATCACCATTCTCAATCATTCTTGTCATTCTCAAAACGAAAGCTATGTAAGGCTATGATTACATATTAGTTTATAATGTGATATTAAATTCAATAAAATAAATCTGATAGTTCACCCAAACAGCGCCCACCTTTCGGCTTTTTCCGGGCTTTCTCACTGCCGTGGCAGCATTCAAGGCAATGGCCACACCGAAGTCGGCCAACTTAATCTGGGCATCGAATGGACCGACTAAAAATGGGCCACAGCTGGTAATGATGGCACCGTGGGCACCTCTTCAGGACATGGGTCCAGCCCCTTGCGAGTGAGTAGGAGATTCCCGGGCTTCACCTCAGCCAAGGATTCGATTCGATAAATAATAAATATCATATGAATGAAATTGAAGTAATGTGGGCAAAACAACAATAAACCACCCATGTGGAAATGATTCATACGAACTATTTATGGTGATGTGGGGGATGGTTTATTTTTGTTTTACCCACGTTATAGTAATATGATACAATGATTGGCCAGAACATACCCTGGGTCCCGCACATCCCGGTGGAGTACACCCTCTTGATGTACAAAGCGAAGTGCGCTCGCAATGGCCACCAACACCTCAGGGCTGCAACATGCAACCCGGGATTCTACGGGATTCTATGGGTATTTAGTGGATTTTAGTGGGCATGAAGCAACAGGGAGAGCTCAAATTATCGGCACATGGTTTGAGTTTTAGTATGCTTTAGTACTAAGCCATCCATGGTTGGGCGAAGATTCAGCAGCACTCGGATCTCTGGGCTATGGCCCTGACTGAACGGACAAAGGCTCCCTCCAAAGGACCTTCCTTGGAACTTACACGTTGTGCCAAAACCTCAGCAACCAGAAGGGGATAGCCGCTATGGACGTCCATGGTGGTTTCCATCGCCATTTGGAAATATGGGGAAGAAGAAATTCATCTGACGATTGTCATGTCCATCGGTGCAGTCACTGCATTGTAAGATGACATGCTGAGGTCCGTACAGACTGGATATCTCCACCCTCCTGGTTCAAGACGAAGCAAGATTGTATACCAAGGATTTGACTGCATGGGGAAACCTACCGCCAATTGCTGTGTGAACTTCTCAGGAAATCGTGCAACCCGCCACGATGTAGGCATCACTGAATCACTTCGTTCCACCAGTAGAAGTCTTGGGTCCAATGTATTTTCATGTATTTTCCCACGCACGGAATTCAGTGGCTGTTCATTGGCTATAAATTTGGCAGCCACTTGTGTTGTGAACCAAGTCTATGTGGAGGGATGCGAAATATGCCAAATAGTGGCAGAAATTTCATCTGAATTGGTTGCTATCAAAGTTTGCCACCACGAGTCCCACGAATCTTGCTCCGCAGACCCTTTTTAGTGGTGAATTTAAGGGCCGTTGCTTTCTGTTCCCCCGCTCCATGTATTGCAAAGCCATCCACATTGCTGATCTGCCAGCATCCCACGCGCTTTCGTAGCACGTGACCTTATGCCGCTGTGGGTCATGCTCAAAATACCAAGCACATTCGGAGGAACGATGCTGGCAATTTCATCAAACAGCCATGGATTTAGCCAGTTTAGCCAAAGTTTGGCACAAATTCCAACCCTACAACGAGGCAACTGCGGCACAAGTGTTGTTCTGTTGCAATGATAGTTTTTGCCCGGCGAACCTGTGTCAGACATCCACATTAATTAATGGATATTAATGGCTCATTTCGTCATCGAAACACATTGCTCTGTCCCACCTCACTACCACTGATGGTTGCTTCCAGTTGCAAAACTTAGCTCCCCTTGGACACTTGCAAATGACAGATCCAAGGTACAATGTTCGGATGGTGCCCCAGCCGCTTTAGCAGAGCTGCTTCGGAAAACGCCGCCCGACGGCTCTGATTGAGCAAATGGACACACCCTGCCATTTCCTCCAGTCGCACATAACGATTAGAAGTGATTGCGACTTGAAAAGGAACATAAGATACGAGAGATTTTTGGGTATATGTCTGGTCAAAGATAATTTGGTACTGCAATAGGAAACACCAAAAGAACTTCAACGCCATCCATACAGTAAAGATGTTGAAATTGATCTTGTTCGATATTCCAACACCAACCATATTTAAGGGCTTCCAGAAATGCTGTACCCAATGATTTTGGGGTACCCCTATTCCCCCCATTTATATAATCCTAGGCTCATGTGCCATGGTCAGAGTCACCACCAGATGCCGCCCTTGGGCCTCTTTGGCAGCGCACGCGGCCGCAGTGTCAAGCTGGTCACATGGAACAACCCTCAGCCGGCAATACCCTACACTGCCCCAAAAAAGTTTCAGATCTCTTCCATCCAAATTAATGTGGGGCCATCTGTTTCATCTTTCTGTGTGTATCGTTTTGCCTGTCTGGACATCCTTTTTTGACCATAAGAAAATAAATAAGAAGAGGCTGTAAGAAGCTGCTGCTGAATGAAAAAGAAGTCGGATCCAGGAGGCATGTTACAACATGTTACAACATCTTTGCGGTCCTCCTCAACAAAGCCTTACCCATTGTTGAAATCATCCTACCACATCCTAACCTTGGAAACTCCAAGGGGCTTCATTGCAACTTCACAGGCATCACGAAGGCTGCCTTGGTAAACAGTGGGTCACCGGCCAGTCAAGTTGCGTTAAAACCGCATTGTGCCTGCAAAAACATCGGAAATCCAAGCCGCAAGTGGGGGTGTACATCGACAATTGGGGCTCCCGCCTGATGTTTTATTCCGTGTTTCCTTGCAGTGAGCCTTTTTGTGTTTGAGAGACGACATCAGAAACCTCCCAATTAAAAACTGCCACCTGCTGTGTAGCTGGCTGGCAACTCGTAGAACACCGCATAACTTTACGATATTTTACGATACTTGATGCAACTTTTGCATATGTTGTGCGTGCAAAATGGTGTTTCGTTGGGGTGGGGTGGGGTGGGATGGTAATGTTCACTTGAACATGCAAACTTGCAGATGCCACGCATTGCTACGCTGCTATCATTTCTTGTCAGCTTTGGCGGGCACTCAATGCGTTGATTGACTCAAGAATTTATCGGAGCCAAATATCCTTGAAAATTCAAAGGTCACAATCCAAAGGCCGCAATGGCAACATGTTGGGTCGACGGGGGGGTGTCCAAACTTCATTGTCTTTTGCACGCACTCATGTCGACCTCTCTCTTCTCTTGCCTCTTGTTTGGTTGGGGGGGCAGTAACGTCTTCATGTGCGTTTTCCTGTAGCATGCACTCATATCGACCTCTCTCTTCTCTTGCCTCTTGTTTGGTTCGGGGGGCAATAACGTCTTCATGTGCGTTTTCCTGAGCGAGTTTATATAATTTTATATACACCTGTGCAAAAGATCAACAAGAGAAAGGTGTTCGCAAAAGCACTTGCCGCCTTGAAACAAGGGGTTGGCAAACAGTCTTTCTCTGAGACAAATTACCGTGGTGGGCGGTGGCCAAGTGGCAGAAAGTCACGCGGCAAAGTTGAAGAAGCAATTGCGCAGAACAACAAGTTGTCTGGCTTACCTCTTGATTCCGCACACATCGATGGCTTATCCGCTTTGTACATTCATGAAAACCTTAGGATTGACATGGTCATGGACGCCTTTGTGCGCTATATGGCTTTTGTCAAAGACAAAATTCATCCCAACAATCCCTATGTAGATACCTCCTGGTTCACTAAAAAATGACGAAATTGAGGACAAAAACTTGCGGGATCGCTTGTACTGTCGGGGTTGTTTTCAACATCGATTGTGTCAAGAAACAAAAGTTGACTTGATGCAAAATTTGATGAACATGTCGAAACAATCCATAATATTAATTAAGATCAAAGGAGAATGATGCACAATGATAAAAATAGGCTTGGCACCACAGCGAACCACACATTTTTGAATAAAACAATTCCATACATTGTCACAAACTAAATCATGAACATCTTGGAGTTAATCAAGACGGCCCTGAAGTTTGGGCAAACCCCCCCGTCTACCACCCAAACATCAAAAAATAACAATAACAATCGGTGAATCAATGCGATGAAAGGAGAATCAGAAACACACAGGTGGAAGTCTGGAAGGTGAAGAAACACAGCGGCATTGAATCACCCCTGTACCGTGTAGTTGGATGCAGCTGGACCATTTAAGTGTGGCTTTCCAACTGTTTCTCTTTGCTTCTGGTCTCCGAAGACTTGCGAGGGGAATTTCCTGCAGTTCGCCTGAATCTCCAGAAACATTCCCACAGGGTCATGTCCAACCACAGACACTTGACATGACCATGGCGCGTGACTTGGGTCCCACACATGCAGAGACCACATAGCCAAAGCTCCCTCGACCAATCAGCCTCTCCACCTGGCTTTGGATTGCCATCGGCCCAACGATTGGTATCCATTGGTTTCCCTATTCTCAGAAAGTGGACAACTCTGATTGATGTGATGGAATATGAATGCATGGGATATCTCATATCTCCAATTGTTTAAATCTTCTTCCAGCTCTGTTGCTCGGTCCAAGAGCCGTAGTGTCCAGACATGCCAAGACTGCAGCCACTCAAACAAACAATTTGAGATCGTGCAGACCAACATTAAAATTTCCAACTTTCGAGAGTACCGTTAATGACTGGGAGCTTCGTTTCTTGTCACTCTATAGATCCAGTGTTGCATCCTGGATTTGGCTATGGCAACATCTTCCGCCTGCCTGAAAATGACCCAAAGCATCGCCTGCCTGGGGTGCATGGTGATTTCGGGGTACGACGAGAAGCACGTCTGTTGGTTCATTGGTCATGAGACCACTCAAAACACACAGACACACACACACACGCTTACTTACATTTTTTGAAAAACTGTCGGAAAGTTCAAACCTTCCAATCGTCTAACGTTGACCCACAGTGCCTCCCAGGGCTGTCACAACCTGATATTCTGCCTACTTGGTTGCTCTGAGGGCCGCAAAGGGAGCATGGGGTAGCTAGGCTCACCTTGATGCCGCAGCTGGGCAGAGTCATTTCCTGGACGGTGATGAAATCTGCTGGGTCGCTGGGTCAAGGATGCAAAATAAAAATCATGAACTTACCACTTTGGCTGGTGAAAATTTGAAAAAATAGCCGTGGAATCATCGTTTTCAAGTTGAACATGTTTACATTTTCAAAAATCATCATCAAGACCAGCAAGACATGTATCCATCCGTTCGGTGCCGACCTTTGGCTGCAGTGCGCAGCTAGTGGAGAGCAGATTGCATGGCCTGATGCCACAAATTGATGAACACTGGCGGGATACCAACGATTTTTACCAACCCTCGAAACCACTCCAAAATCGTTTGGGTGCACCGGTCGACATTTGTAGCATTTCTTGATCTTTGGGCATCACTCCAAGAATCGGTTTAAGTCAAAATGTGCAAGAAAAACTCTGTTGGAATGGTCGAATGGTCACAAAAACATGTTTTCCCGCGGGTGTTCCATGAAATCAACGCGTCGCATCCGGCCGTTTGGACCGTGACCCAGGCGACTGGGTGACTGGGTGCTCGAACTTGGCTGACCTGCTAGAGTTCGCTCTGCCAAGCTACCCTTTGAGCTGAAACAGCCAGGAGAGTGGTATGTCACATGTAAAATGGGTGCTGTCCACAAGAAAGTGTACGTGACTGTGCAAGAATTCCCGAAACTCTCCAAGGGACTCAAAAATCTGGTGGGTCGCTCACCATGGTTTATGTATATCTATAATGAATATAATATAATATAATATAATATAATATAATATAATATAATACAATATATAATATAATATAATATAATATAATATAATATAATATAAATATAATATAACATAATATAATATAGTATAATATAGTATAATATAGTATAATTTATTATATATAATATATATAATATAATATAATACAATATATAATATAATATAATATAAGATAATATAATATAATACGATATAATATAATATTTTATTAAATTATATTAAATGATATATGCACACACATCTGTACACGCGTATAAAGGCATATACGCACATACACATAAACACAAGCACCCACGCGCATATACACACATGTATGTGCATTTGTACAAACATATTTTGTATATATATATATACCGATATGCCTGTTGAACATATATCTATATATATATCATATATACAAACCATATATATATATCATTTTAAAAATATCTATATATATCATATATATAGATATGTATCATATCTATATATATATATATATCATATATATATATGATATATATATATGATATATATATATATGATATATATATATATATATATGATATATACAGATATGATACATATGTATATATATATATATCATATGTGTATATATATATATCATATATATATCATATATATATCATATATATATCATATATATATATATATATATATATCATATTTGTATCATATATGTATCAAAATATATATCATATATATATATATCATATATATATATCATATATATATCATATTTATATATATATATATATCATATATGTACCATATATATATATATGTATATTATATATATATCATATATATATATATTATGTGCCGACAAAAGTTATATCATAAATACTTACTTAATATATTATATATTTATTTATGTTTATGCAAGTGTATGACATGCAAATATACATATACCATATACATGGATATACATACACATGACATGTAAATACTGGGGATCTTCAAACCCCATCAAGTCCAACTCCAAACTGGGCGCCAACTCTTTGAACCCGAAGCGGATGTGTAACCCCCACATCCTGACTCCGACAGCCAAGCACAGTGTGAATGCACGGCACCGCTGATGCGACATGATGCGACCATTCACTCGGTCACCGTGAGATTCACTAAACCTTCCGAGAAAGTCAGCCCAGAAAGAATAGCTTCGTAGCCTTCAGGGGGGTACCCATGTTGTAAACCCAGTTCAAGTGGAAAGGAGCGCAAGAGATTCTCGATAAGCCTTTCCTTGGTCTAAGCCTTGTACATGTAGTATGAGAATGAGTTTCTCCATGTTTTTCCCCAACAAATGAACGCAAGCCTACATGCAAATAATGTAAATAATGACTTTGAAAGAAAAGTATGTTGCATGTTTTGAAATGAAAATGACACGGGTTTCGGGCACCCGTCTGGTTCCAAAATATCTATGAAGCTCAGCTTAGCTCGTCAGAGTTTCCCGGCGCCATTTGGCGCTGTCATTGGGCGGGACGTCGGCAGCGAGATCCCAGGTCAACAGGACATGGCAGGCACCAATATGCTTCGATAGTTTGATCGTGGTTCGAGACAAGCTCCATTTCATATATTTCATCACAATTTTGTTGGGTGGACGGTGGACTAAGCTAACATAACCTAACATAACCTAACCCTTACAGGCTTTCCACAAAGAGTAGCCTCGTCTGTGGCAGAGATCACCCTGTTGGCTGCCGCGCAGCTGGTCGCTAGACCGTGGACTGCGTTCTGTCCCCTCCACTGTGGACGTTGCAACTCCACAGCGACTGCATCATCCACAGTGACTCCATTCGCCAACGGTGGGGACCATTGGGGACCATCCTGAAAAACTAGGAATGGTACGGTAGGTACAAGATGTTACAAGCCCAGCAATAGTACTGGGGTTTTGAGTACCCCCTAAAGTGAAGTTCAAGCAGCTTCACTACTGTTCAATACTAGTCGTCCAATGGGTTGCAATTCAGCTACAAAGGGGGGATTCTGCTTGGGCCCCAGTCTTTGATTTGGAGAGAAACACCAACAGGTCTGTGTGCTGCTTCCTGGATGGGCGGAATGAGCCGATTGAAAGTCACCCCTGGCTCAGTGGGCGCAAACAAAAGCACGTCGACCTGGAATTCGCCATCACCACGTTCAGTGGAATGATTTTTTGGCAAAGATTGAAACATGGGGTAAAAACGGGATAAATATGGATAAATGATAATTTGATAATATATGATATAATATGTAGAATACATGAATGTAAAAAATGTACATGGTGGACCGGGGAAAATTTGCGGCAAAGTCTGCCGAATGCTCATGCAGTTTGATAAAGCCAATGAAAAGAAAGTTTGCCCACCCTTCATAAGGAAGTGAGACAATTTGGCTGAATTGCTTTGCACCCCCGCAAAGAAAGGTAGAATATGGAAGAATACAACCTGACAGTACGATGACAACTTTTAATATTTGGACTGTCAGGAAGTGCGACGTTCCAAACAGGAATGAGATTCTGAGATGCTTTAGATGTTTTGGCGCATGCTGGTTTTCGTACGTCTTTTTCATAAACGGTCCAAATGTGAGTGGAATATGGTTGCTGCCACTTTAAGACAAACTTGGGAAGATTGGGCAGGGCAATGCTAGTGAAAGGCTCTTGCTTTTGAAATGATGGGTTCTTGCGGCACCTTCAGAAGTAGCATGGACAGAAAGTGAACATGCCACGACACTTCCCATCAAGACATCCAACACATCCAAGGCCCGCTCCGCCCAATGGCTCATGCCAAAAGTCTCGCTGTCTATCTCGAAATTCCTGCAAGTCACACCCAGTTTCATGCAGGATGCTTCAAGAGGCCCGGGTGAGGCCTGCGGGTTTCAAGGGTCTACCCGTCCCAAATTCAGCAGTTTATTGGGCCAAATTGTTCCAATAATTTCAGACAGCGGGAAATCAAGACCATCTACATACTCGAGACATCTCGGGACATGAAGTCCTTGTGAAATTTAGAGGGTGGCCATGGCGATTTTGATGACGACACCTTTGGTTTTTATCTGCGGGTTGATAGGTTTCCTGACTATGATCCCAGCATAGCCATCATGGCAAACCCGCATGCCGCAAAAAGAGTATGTCCAGAAAAAAACGGATTCAGGGGCCAAAACCCATTCATGTTCCCTACCTCAAGACCCAACGGTCTCTGCAAGACTGGTTGCAGGATGAGTCCTATCTTCCGCGCTAGCAATATCAACATCATTTGAATTTTTGGAACCAGCCTTATCATCACCCTCCTCCTCATCATCACCACCATCATCATCAACATCATCGCCGCCATCACTGTACTCTACCTGACCCCACCTAAAGCTTGGCATCCTAAACCAGTGGGACACAGGTGGATGGTGGATAGTGGGTGTGGCACCACCAGCTGACCCCACACTGGAAGAACTTGTTTGATTTCCAGACTGGTAGATAAGGAATACCGGAATACCCCGACCATATGGTTCCATATGGTTCCATGTACTGAAAAGTGCCAAGCCGTTCCCATATATAAATGGGAGCTGACCAGTTGGATTAAAATGGTCGGTCCGACAATGGTCGGTCAGCATGTGCACAAATCTATGGACAAACGAAGACAAGCGACTACTCACTCATTCCACGTGCGATTCCATCAGTGTTCTTCGCCATTGCGAATCCTCTCCGATTTGTCATTGATTCCTTTCTCCAGGTACTGAAAAAATGCTGATGGATTTGGTGCCCCCAAGTTCTAAACACCAAATGAACAGCTTGGAAGGGTCCTGCCAATTGGATCGCCCTGTGACCTGGCGCCGCTTGTGTTCACCAAAAGCAATCCCCACAAGGTATGATAGTCGCCAATGAACCAGGTAGTATGATCCCCTATAAAGAAACAAACAAACGAACCAATAACGGCCATTTTCATGGTGAAAAATCAACGGGCTATAAACTTCTCAATTTCTCTAGCACCTGCTTGACCAGCAAGGAGAACTCAGCCTTCTCGTTACGCCGGACCTGGCGATGCTGGTACGGATGCATACAGACATCACATAACTTTAGATTATTGTATGCAGTCAGTATATATAAATATAATTATGTATAATATAAAATAATAATAGTAATATTATATATACACGTATATTATATATATATTCTGTCTATTTGTCTAACAACTTGACTACTTATCTATCCATCCGTGCATCCATCCATCTACCTAGATAAGTATTCAATGTATTTCAATGTATGTCTTTATATATGTACATATATGTGTATATTATATACATCCATGTGTGTCTGTGTAAAGGTACAGCCGAATGATCTGCATACACGCGTATAGGCAGAAACTTAGGGCCCCCAAAGTGTGATGTTCATTCAAAAGAATGACTGGCCACAAGCTTTTGGTCGCAGACGCAGAGCTCGAAATTTGACACCATGCAGACCATGCGTCGAATTGTGGACACCATCTTTGAAGGGTTTCAAAAGATTCAATATGGTTACAGATTTTCGACATCCATAATCTTAGTTGAAGACATGGCCCATATGAAATCGCAATGCTTACTGACTTGGGCTGACTTGAAATGAGAACTCACCACCTTAGCTGGTATCCTAGCAACAGCGGCACTCAAGAATAAAAGGGCTCGGGAATAACCAAGATCAAATTTCAGCGAATGGAGGACTGTTAAAGAAGCCAAATCAAAGAAGTAGCACTCCGAGCAAGTCAACCTGGACTGAATCTTCGCCAAAATCCACATGATCAAGACTGGAATTGTAGCAGATTCTGCTGCTGGTTCCGCCATAGACGCTTATTTTCAGCCAATCTGTTGAGTCAACCCAGGCAGCGCCCAACCCAAGATATAGCATGATACATGTAATGACATAGACAGTCGCGCTTAAACGCCACCATCAACTGTACAAAATTGTACAAACATCTCGGCCCGACTGTACCGCTCTGTCTATGAAGCCACTGTGGCCACTAGCAGGTGATATGAGGGGATGAATCCGAACCAAACCTGGTGTTCATGTCCGGAAAGGGAAAGTAAAGGAAACGACAACCTGAAAAGCCATTACTTTTCAGGAATAAACCGCAAGATCTGCAGAATCTCGCATCTGAAACGGTGGAAAGGAAAAACCTCTGCAAGCCCAGCCTTTGCAAGCCACCCGCGGCCCTTGCGGCCAGCAGGCGCTGCGGAAAATGGGCTGTAGAACCTAGCGCTCTTCACCCGCTCAAAGGCGCTCAAGCAGAGATACTCAGTCTTCACCGGGACAATGCCATGGAAGGCTGATGGCCAGTGACGGCCAGTGATGGCCAGTCATGGCCAAGGCCAGTGCCATCAGTTCACTTTTTCAACCACTGCTGTAGGAGTTTCACAACCATGTGGTTGGAACCGCAAACGTCTCCTGCCAGGGCACAATCCATCACACTGCGGCCCCTAGAGGTCTCTTTCTCTACATCGACACCTTCCTCCAAAAGGATCTCCAGCACATCATACTCTCCCTGCATGGCTGCGACATGGATAGGATACACGCTTTCTCGCTTGAAAAAACAACCACCCCCACGTGCAGAGTGTGGGTCTCCCTCTTTGAAGCCATTGGCGCGAAGGAAGCTCCTCAGGCACATCCGGCGGATCATGCGCTCATGCCGGGGGCCAAATGAGCTCTCGATGCTGTTGCCACACCCGAAGGATCTGGATGTGTTTGGAGTGTGCTCTGAGACAGTGGTGCTTCGGGAGTCTGGCACCACTTGAAAAGGTGACACCGGTGATGCAACCGGTGACACCTTCTTGCGGTCCGTCCGTGCTGATTTTGGCGATGGCACAAGCGTTGCAAAGTTCATGGCTTTGGGAAACTGTACGACTACGAGATTCTGCTACAGTGACAACCCTCTTGGTGTCACTGGGTTTTCAAGGATTTTTGCGTCCTTGAGGCTTCAAAATTGAAGCAAGTCAGCATGAAGGCTCATTTCCGACTCATTTGCACTTCCTGGTTCAACATCGGAACCGTACAATCAAGTGTCCTCCAAGATGAGTCACCAGGATTGTCCAAATGGGAATCAAATCAATTACATTGATGTCTTGAGAAAGTTTGCCACTTTCACAATAATTCTCCTGGTGGTGCAGGGTTTCAAAAGCTGGGGCCGTCCCATTCTCCCACCTGGGCTGCTTGTGGAGGCCCTTCCCTGGTGGCCCGGACCGGCACGGTGGATATGGGTACCTGTGCGGTGGTGGCAAGGGCGCATTCTCCAACGCAGACTGGGAATGTTCGCCAATGCTTATCATTGACGATCATGGGGATGATATCAACTCAATCAGTATGCAACCAAGTACAATAAACTTTGTGCGGCGGAAAAAACAATGAAAACCATCTGACAAAAATAATGACAAACATATGACACGTATTGCTACATCAATTCTGACATGTGGTCTGACATCTATCCTGACACATATTCTGACATACACTCCAACATAGAATATACTAAGACATATAAACTAATAATTTTCATATACATATTTAAAGAGAATATATACAGTACATATATGGTGTATATATATATATGGGTATGTATATAGTAAATGTATGTGTATATATATATAGTGTATAGATATAGTGTATATATATAGTATTTATATAGTGTATAGATATAGTAGATATATATATATATAGTACATATATAGTATATATATAGTGTATATATATATAGTGTGTATATATATATATATAGTGTGTATATATATAGTACATAAATATATTAGTATATAAATATATATTAGTGTATAAGTTTTTTATATAGTATGTGTATATATATATAGTATGTGTATATATATATATGTATATATATATAGTGTGTATATATATATAGTGTATGTATATACAGTGTATTAGCGCGTATATATATATATCACGATGCATCTAGTATTTAAATATAGTATATATATATATTGTATATATATATAGAGTATGTATATATATATATAGTAATATATATATAGGCTATATAAATATAGTGTATACATATATAGTATATAAATATAGTGTGTATAGATATAGAGTGTTTTTTAAATATAGCGTGTATATATATACAATGTATATATATACACTCTATATATATACACTATATGTATTGTATATATATAGTGCGTATATATATATGTGATATATATATATGATATATATATATGTATATATAGTGTATATATATATATATATGTATATAGTGTATATGTATATATATATGTATATATAGAGAATATATATAGAGAGAGTGTATATATATATATTGTATATACAGTATATTTATATATAGTGTGTATATATATATGTAGTGTGCAAATAAATAGCGTATAAACATATATTATTTAAATAGTGTGTATATATATTTGTATATATATATATAATTATACACCTCAAAGTGACACAGCTGACTTCGTAGTACTACTCCCGCTGCACCCTTTTCCCATGCTCTGCCATTCAGTCGTGAGTCACCTGCTATCCTCAGGTTTGCCTTGGAATGGTCACATGGTGAAACGTGCACAGCCCCAGACCAGTGTCCACTCCTGCTCCCCTGGTCAAGACTGCCTGGCCACCCCAGGCTGGAACCTGTCTTCGCAGGTATCACCCAACGCACTACTACACCCAAGGCACTAGAGGAATTCAAGGGTGAGAATGGCTGCAATGAAAGGCAGATGGAAGAAAATAGTGGGAGGTACGGCGAATGAAAGCCAAATCCATGGCAGGGCCACCATCGGTCTTCAAAACCTAACCTACTGATGTCGTCAGCCCAATCGCTCTTGCGCTGGACGTATTCCCAGTAACCCTGGGCGCACAAGGCCAATAGGGCTCGATGGATCAAATGACCCAGCTTTGCAAGGTCAGGCTTGCTAAATCGCCCTCTCACTAAAGTCATCACAGCTGCCACATTGTCCAAGAACCACAGAACTTGTCTGTTGCGAAACAGGTCAGGTCATTCGATATGAGGGCGCTGCCACAAAACTATAGCGTGCGTGCGATCCAGCAGCTTGATCAACGAGGAAAAGATGAAATGAAACCCGCCAGAGCCAGATTCAATTTCTTCTTCTGCTGCGTCAGAAGCGGCAAGGAATCTCAAGCCAAAGAAAAATGTCATGGAAAAATGTCGAAAAGGTTTCACTCGCAGTATATACTTCGATCACCTCGAAGCATTGCTGAATCTCCGGCGTCAGGCCAAAGGCCTCTTCATGCTGTCTGGCTTGGATGGCCATCAGGCCGCCTTTGCCAACTCGCCTGAAGAGCCCCTTCTAAGAAGTTGGTAACGCCATGCATCTTGGAAGAGCGCGCTTGATCAACCGCCAACCACCCAGTGTTGCGAGCTGTAGTCGCCATGTCCTGATCTTGTCATGCGCACGTTCGCAAGCCCAAAAGGAAACACATCCGGTATTGCCAATGTACCAAGTGTCAAGGGGAAGGCCTAAGAATGCACCCTGTTCCTGCATGTTTTGGTGCTTCTCACTGGCACAAGGGGAACCCAAAATGTGGCACGGCTCATTGACAGCCCATTGACCGGAGCCCGCTCGTGAAGGTACCACACTGCTACACAACTTAGGGATTCATCACGGGCCATTGTACAGGCGCTAGGATGATGGCGGTCGTGAAAAGCTGCAATCTCCTATAGGGATCAAGCCATGGGGTCTGTCCTGAATCGTCTTCAGCAGTCCAACGACGCAGTGGTCAGGTACAAATGCACCAATATCGCCGCCTGCTCTGAGCCCAACCTGCTTGTAGATGCCCCGAGCCCTGTGAGCACTGCCTTGCAGTGCCCGCAATGCACAAGCGGTGACCCTCAAGCAGCAGCACCTACACTTGAAACAAGCCTGCCTGGGCAAGCCAAATCAATGGCCTCCAGCTTTGCTGAAATTGCAAAAACCGAAGTTGTTTCCACAAGTAGGATCACCCCTACCTGCACGCTTAAACTTGCATTAAAAAGTTCACGCCATGTGCATGGCAAGTGTTGGGCAACATCACCCCCACTGCGACCTCAAACCTGTGCCACTAAAGCAATGAGGGCAATACCAAGCAGGATCATCTCCTGCTTGAAACCCAACCTGCTTGAGACAGCCGAGTCCCACATCTCTGTGGTCACTGCCGGGCAGTGCCGATGGTCGGCCTGTGATCCTCAAGTAGTGTTACCTCTATACTCAGAAATTTAGCCTGCCTGGGGAAGCCAAATAATAGCTTTCAGCTCTGCCGAAAATGCAAGGCTTTGGAAGCTTACACACGCCTTTAAAACGTTCAGGGTCACCTCCTGTTTGGAACCCAACCTGCTTAACACAGAAGATGCCCACATCCCCTTGGTCGCTTCTTTGCAGTCCCGACAAGCTCTGACCATCAAGTAGCGTCCCCTCTACTTGGAAAAGGCCTGCCTCAAATCAATAGCTTCCAGCTCTGCCGAAATGCAAGGGCTAAGTCTCCAGATGTAGGATCACCCCCTACTTGCTTAAAAAGTGCATGCTCCAGCCATGCGTTTGGCACCATCAAGTAGGATCGGGCAACGCCAAGTAGGACCACCTTCTGCTTGGAACCAAACCTGCTCAGGACAGCAGATGCCCAGAACCGCATGGTCACTGCCCCGCAGTCCCGGCAAGCCCTGAACCCCAAGCAGCATCACCTCTACTTGGGTCCCTGCAGAAGCCAAAGCAAGAGCCTCCAGCTTTGCTGAAATTGCAGGATCTAGGCCACCAGACACAGGATCGCCCGTGCTCGGAAGCTTAAACTAGCCTAAAAGTGCAAGCACCATCAAGGAGGAACACCCACCCCCACTTGGACCCCAATTCTTTGCCACTGAAGCAGTTGGAGCAACACAAGTAGGATCCACCTGCTTGGAACCAACCTGCTTAGCCTACATCCCCTTGGTCACTGCCTTGCAGTCCCGAGAAGTTCTGACCCTCGAGTAGCCTCACCTCTGCACTAGGAGAACCAGCCTGCTCTGCTGAAATTGCAGAAACTAAGCCTCCAGAAGTAGGATCACACCTACTTGAAGGTTGAAAAACGATTGAAAAGTGCATGCCGCATGCATGGCAGGTGGTGGGCACAGTAGGATCACCCCATGTGGACTCCAAACGTATGTCACTAAAGCAAGTAGGAGCGACACCAAGCAGGAACGCTCTGCTTGGAACCCAACCTCCTTAGGACAGCAGATAATACCCAGATCCGCTTACCCACTGCCTCGCAATCCCAACGGGCTGTGACCCGCAAGTAGCTTGGACCCAGCTTGCCTTGGAATGACAAATCCACGGCCTCCAGCTCTGTCGCCCCGACTCGGGAGCTTAAATTCGCACAAAAAGCTCGTGCTGCATTGATGCGCTTTGGGCAGCATCCAGTAGGGTCACGCCCTGCTTGGAACCCAACGGCCCCTGACCCTCAAGCAGCATCACCTGTGCTTGGGACCCAGCTTACCTGGCGAGGCCAAATCAACGGCCCCAGCTCAGCTGAAATGCAAAAGCTACGCCGCCAGCAGTAGGATCGCCCTACTTGGAAGCTGAAATTCATTTAAAAATTCAAACCATGTTCATGGCAAGTGTTGGTCACCATCAAGTGGATCGCCTCCCACTCTGACCCCAAACCTATGTCACTGAAGTAATTAGGACAACACGAAGTAGGACCACCTACTGCTTGGAACCCGACCTGCTGAGGACAGTAGACCCAGAGCCTGCCAAGAACTAAAGCTCAAGAAATAAGATCCCTTACTTAGAAGCCTAAACTCGCTTACTTATGGCAGGTGTTGCGCGCCATCAAGTCGGATCACCTGCACAGGGCCACACACCAAGGAAGATCACCTCCTGCCTGCCCTGCGTCCCAAGCCAGAGGCAGGCTGACGCAGACAAACAAGTAAAAAGAATAACCTCCTGCTTAGAACGCAACCTGCTTAGGACAGCAGAAGCCCA